AATATTGTGTAAATCTTACAGTGCCGATGTAAGTTTTACACTTTTTTATTATTAAACTTACAATTGACACGTGTAAATTTTTTTATATTTTCCGGATGAAAGTAGTTAATATATTTATCAACGTTTTATTATTATCAATTATTCAAATAATTATATAGGCGGGTTTGATCGAAGCAAGTGTCAAAGTCAAGATCTATGAAGTTAGCAAAACGAATGTTTATCAATTATTCAATAATTATATAGACGGGTTTGATCAAAGTAAGTATTAAAGTAGTCGAGATCTACGAAACTTGCAAAACGAATGTTATCAATTATTCAATAATTATATAGGTGGGTTTGATTGAAGTAAGTATTAAAGTTGAGATCTACAAAGCTGTTTATAAATATATTTAATCAACATTTTATTATTGTCAATTATTTAATATTATATAGGCGAAGTAAGTATTAGTCAAGATCTATGAAACTTGCAAAACGAATACTTATCAATTATTCAATAATTATATAGGCGAAGTAAGTGTTAGTCAAGATCTATGAAGTTTGCAAAACGAATGTTTTATCAATCATTCAATAATATAGGCGGGAGTAGTAATATGTATCTATTCCGTACCTTATATGCGGGATCAAAACATACCTTTTCAGTATGTTGCAAATTCCGTACTCTATTCCGTACCTTATAGACGGAATCAAAAAGTACATTCAGTATTAGTATTAGTATGTTGCAATTCCGTACCTATTCCGTGCCTTATACGCGGAATCAAAAACGTACCTTTTCAGTATGTTATAAATTCCGTACTTATATACGGAATCAAAAAGCATGTTACAAATTCCGTACCTTATATGCGGAATCAAAACTTACCTTTTCAGTATTATTATTATTATTATAATTTTCTTAATTCCGTACATTTTCCGTATACATCCATAAATTGCATTACATTGATAAATTTCAAAACGTAGATTAAATACGTCCATTCCGTATCTAAAAATTTATTCTGTATCAAATATAAGGAAATTCTTATACATTCCATATGTTTATTTTCTATAGGGCAGAAGGCGTGTGGAACTGGAGTTTGCCGAGACTACATCAATCATCAATGACACTTTTCACTAATCTCCCCAGACCAGAGAAGGCTGCTAGCACATTAGACAAAAAGCCACCTGCAACAATCCTACTCCTAGGGCAAAGATGGCTCTGTGACAAGTCGCAACCCTGGAGAAATATTAAGATAATCTGCAATTCGTTTCAAGCACGGGAGGTTGCAATTCAGAGCAGGGTTGGTGGCCCTGAAATTATAAAATGGTTCAGATTTTGTTTGGTATATTATAAATTAGTTATTTTCCCAAATTCTCTGTTTCTCTTTGATTTTTATTTAACTAACTGAATTTGTTATTTAAAAATGGGGGTGAGTAGGCATGCCACCAACAAGACAACAACCCAGGATCAAAACTCTGAACATAGGAAAATCCAAAGCATCAATCAGTTGCAGACACTGACTTTATTCTAGAGGTATATAACACAAAGAAATCTTCACAGAAATGCCAATCCTCATCAGTGATCAATGCCCATATGACAACAGCCAGCCTGGTCTGAGGGGGAGATAAGGGGAAGTTTTGTCTAAAGCCTCCAACATGTTTGAGTTACCTCACCTGTGGAAGAAAATCCACAGTTATGAGGAGGCATGAAAATGCCTTATTTCGTGTTTGTGACAGGAAAATTGTATTAAATCTAGCGCCTGTAATCAACATCAGATTTATTATCTATTATTGTGAACCCCGGAGATCTGGGTAGACACACATTATTAAAAATTTCATTCATGCATGGCCTTGGTATCATTACTACCTGGGTGATGCAATTGCTTGTTGTGTCAATTATAACAGCAAACATATTCATGACCATCATGGATATTTGATGGATGGAGGCATTCACATACAAGGAAATGATTAAATAGCTAAGTCGTGTTTGTTTTATTAAAGACATATGACTAATTATAGAATTGTAATTAAGTTATTGGTTAAATATTTCTAAAGCTCTTTGTACTAAAATAATATCATAATCTTTAGGGTTTCTATTCAAATAAGGTTTACTCGAATAAAACGATTAGTTTGAATGAGTGATTCAATTTGAGTAATGAATAAATCGAATAAAAATGAATAAAAGTGAATGGAATAAAACAAATGAAACAAACAAAGTGACATAATGAACAAAATGAACAAAATGAATAAAACAAATAGTAATTTGAATAAAGTGAATAATTTGAATAAAAGAAAATAAAAACAATAACTTGAATAATTAATAATTAGCATGCATAAATTAATAAAATAAAACATATCAATGCAAATAAAAAAATAGTACCTCTGGCTAGTTATTAACACATCTTTTTTAGGAGAATCAAACAACAACACTCATGTTTTGTCAAATAATTTGGTTTTCCAAAAAAAAATCTTTGTACAACATCAAGTGGAAAACAAAAAAGAAGAAAAAATACAAGATAAAGAAGAGGTGAAAGAGTAAGTGTTTATCATTACCACTTGCCATCACTCTAGTTATCAACTTAAAATTAGCCAATCACAGAAAAGCCTGCTATGTTATTTTATGTGTTTGTTAATTGATCATTATATATATTTTTTTTAAAACATGTCTTCTAATAGAAAAAGTAAAAGAAGAAAACAAACCAACAAGTAAATGTTATTTATTTAAAGGGATAAAACATTTAATTTAATTAGTTGATTAAATAATCAAATTTATTCATTTATTTATTTAACAATTTCAGAGAAAAAATTGGAATAAAACCTGTTGCTAGTAAAAAAAGGCTGGAAGATTAATCCATGGACAAAAAGCAAAAAGCTTTATCAAAATGTTGAATGAACTTGTTAATAAAATTCTTAAGGAAGGAAAATTAATATCAAATTACAAATCTTATGATATTCAAAATAATTTCACTTCATACAAAAAAGCAATCCTCCATCTTGCTGAGGTCAATGAATCACCTACAAAAAAGTACTGGAGAGAATTAAAACATCAAATAATACATGAAGCAGAAAAACCATATCGACAAGAGCTTATCTTGAAACACATGCTAAATAAATGGCCTCATATTGGACCCAAGAAACAAATTTCTGAAACTTTCCTTGAAGAGATAGGTAATCCTCTCAAATACTCTCAAGTTGATCTTTACACAATTCTTCAACATTGTGGTAGCTACAAAGATCCACTAATATATCAAGGTGATGCTTACACTATTTACTCTGAGAGATACCTTGATGAAGAAGTAGTGCCAGCATTAGTAAAAGAAACAAAAGAGCTTGGTCCTTATCTTTATTTTCCTGAAGGAAATGTTATTACATTTAAATCTGCAATCACAATGGGTATCAAAGCACCAATTTTTAGATGCATGTCATCACTAAATTGCCAAGAGGAAGAATATCTTTATTCACCAAAAGATATAGAGCATCATCTTAATACTAAACATACTACATTTGTTGAACAAGCTGTATCAGAACATGACAAGATCTGAGTATATGTAAGAAACTCTATATGATTTACCTTTATTTTTTTATTTCAAATTGACCAATAAAATTTAGTTTTTGTGTGATTATATATTTATTTATAAACTTAGCTTGAGATTAGAGATGGCTCTGCATCATAGTGCTGTCTTATTAATGAATCTGATCATTGATAAATTCATTTGCGCATCTATAGTTGGAGTTACATCTAGAATTATGGGAACTGGACCTGCTTACACAATTTTAGCTGTTCTTAAACAAAGATACTATGAAATCAATGAAGCCTTTATTTATATTGTGTTGAGAAATTGTGCATTAACCTTCAAAAAGTTAATCCAAACACAAAATAAATAATAATTTGTTTCATTAAATCAATATTTATTAAATTTTTAAGGAAAAAGATTATAATTGTTTTGCAATTTTATGTATAAATTTATGTTATATATGTTTTGTTGAGTATTTTTTAATGAAAATATTGGAAAATATTATTCCAATACCATACCAAGGTACTGATTCGACATATGAAATAAGAAACTTACCCAATATTACAAAAATTATTATACTCAAAACAATTGGAAATAAAATTATTATTATTTTATGATATTGTTTATATATGAGTTCATTTCTTGCTATTGAAACTATTATCTTTAAAGTTTGTGCAATATAAATTAATAAATTTAAGTATAGTCCACTTTCAATTCTTCTCAGAAAGTGAAGACAAACAGTTGTGAATATACTAAGAGGAGCAATTAGAATATTTAGATGAAGCTCCTATTTTGGTAAAAAGAGACGAAAGAACTAGTAAATATAAAATAAAATTTTTTAATAAAAACTCAATGGTAAATATATTATGTCATCCTAATACATACACCCCTTTTTCGTTCTTCCTTCTTCCCTTCTTCCTTTGCTTGCTTCACTTGTTTTTTTATTAATCTCAAAAAAGCTAATTTGTTTTTATTTGTATCCATCTTATTCACTTTATTCAAATTACTATTTGTTTTATTCATTTTGTTCATTTTGTTCATTATGTCACTTTGTTTGTTTCATTTGTTTTATTCCATTCACTTTTATTCATTTTTATTCGATTTATTCATTACTCAAATTGAATCACTCATTCAAACTAATCGTTTTATTCGAGTAAACCTTATTTGAATAGAAACCCTAAAGATTATGATATTATTTTAGTACAAAGAGCTTTAGAAATATTTAACCAATAACTTAATTACAATTCTATAATTAATCATGTCTTTAATAAAACAAACATGACTTAGCTATTTAATCATTTCCTTGTATGTGAATGCCTCCATCCATCAAATATT